AAATAATAGGGTTTCCCCAATCTAGTAACTTTAGATAAGTTCCTTAACAGCAACCCAGTTGATGGATGTAGGGGATAACGCCTTTCATGCTGTTAGCCATGAAGATGCAAGCAGCGACGTGTGAGTATACATCCTTTTGGTCGCAGTGCAGAGATACGCAGGGCAGGAACGTGGGAGAGCAAAGCAGAGGCAGGCTATGAAACAGTCTGGAAGATTGTATTGAGCCAGCAGATCCTGTTGTGTGATTGCGCACTACTACACTCTACAACGTCATGGATGGCGTTGCCCAAACTAGAAGTGCGATACCTGGCAGTCGGAATGTTAGGTTTCTCAACCAGCACGTTAGCCAGAAAGTCGTAAGTCTCAATAGCATCTACAATCTGCTCAATCTGCTCCATGTTTTTTCTCCTCCCCCTGCTCCTAGAACTTTGTCTTCTTATTCATGCTACCCAAGTTGCAGACTGCTGCTGCTGCTATCATAGCCTTACTGCTTTCACGATCTTCTGACTGCATCGCTGGCCCTAGCCTCTTCTGCCCGCACCGTAGCCGCTGCAAGTCGCTCCGAGAGTTCGCTGCGGTCAAAGCCCCACTCCACAATCTGCAGCGCGATGATGGAACAGTCTCGCGGAAAAGGCATAGTACGTAATGAGTAACGGTAGAAGTGGAAGAACGAACATTCTAATTTAAGCAGATAGACGGTCTGGGAATCAGGGTTGTTGAAAAGAAGCGGCCACGCTGGTTGCAACCCGAACTCTATAAGCACTCATCAATGCGTATGCTAAGAGTGGCTCCTCCCCTGAGAATCTGGATCTGAATATTGAAGCACAGGTAACTACGTGGACTCGGTCTTGGCTGCAGGCCCATTCATTCACAGCGTGACGCGGCGTCTGCGTGGGGACCTGGATCCCGGCACCTGGGATCCAAAAAGAGTTTCTTGGAAGTTGGTTGATGGTACATTCCCCACCTAGGCAAGCATGGTACGAAGTACTAGTGTAATTTTGGCAATAACACTAGTAATAACTAGTGAGGACATATGTTGTAGCCTGATTATAACTGTTGACTGCGTTCCTACCTAGTTCCCCAAAACTAAGATGCAAGCTCACAATCTTTGCAGTGTCCTTTTCGGAGTTCCATCTGAGTTTGCAAACAACTGCCCAGGAACCTTCAGGCCAAGCTTCATGCTTAGGAATTAGGGTGTAGGATTTAGGGTTTAGGGAAAAGGAAATCAACACCTGCTTAGGAGATTTAACCTTTGAACCTTAATTTTGAAATCTACGTGAAAAGTTATCAACATGATGGTCCCGTTTTAGGTATCCTAAATACTAGGGCAGTATAAGGACCCGGGAAAAGGGATCATAATCTTTGTCAGCTGGAACGCTAAAACCTCACCACTAAACCCTAAACGCTTCACCTGGCAGGCAAGATGCGGAATCCATACGTTTCATTCGCGACCCAGCCCAAAGTTGGGTTTTCATCCGCACCTGGCAGGCCAGACAGAAATTTTCTCCTCACATAACCACTACACCAAAAACTACTACTAGTCCTACTAGTACCCTACACCATGCGCCTCTAGGCACGGTTATTGCACTGCGATCAATTAGCATCACAACGCCCGATTCTGTACCAGCGCGCTGTAATTGCAAAATGATTGCTGCCGCGGCTAATCCCCCAAAGCAGTCGGGAACACCGTAGAAAATCAGGACGTTGAGGGGCGGTACGCGTGGAGCTGCAGGGGAGCGGATTACCTCATGCAGCATGCAGCCTGCAAATACCTCGTCACAGGCTAAAGCTTCCTCTGCAGTCTGACTTCAGCGCGCAGCACTGGCCTCCATCATTGAAAGGGTTTTTCTCTTTCCTCATAAATAAGTTTGTTGACAACAGAGACTCAAATGTGACGACCTAGTTTCAGCTCGTACCACAACTGCATCTTAACATATCTTAACATGTGCCTTTCAAACGCAGGAGTGAACAAATGACACACGCTCAGCAGATTGCAGGTCGATGCGTCAAGGCTCCTAGAAGCAAGTAAGGCCGGTCCCTTCAAAGGCATGTTGTAGTAACTGCGAAAGTTCTTCCGAATACATCACCTGTGCTGGACTTCTCAAATTCTTTGCATCACGCCTTATACGAGACTCTAGCTAGGCTTGACTCTAGCGCTTGCTCAAACCAAATCCAAGCCCCCCCTCCCTCTCGCCTCCGCAGATTGCAAACTTAAGCTCCGAAGCTCGCAACACGTCCACTTTGAAGCTCTAAACCCCGACAACGAAGCAATCACTCCAGCAGTTAGTGACCTCCTACAGAACCATCTGTGCCCCCCCCGAAAACTTTAGGCCCCTATAAATTACTGGGAAAAGCTGCCGGCAGGTCCGCAGTGGCACCGGGCACTTCAGACTGCCTGTCGCCGGGCACTGCTTTTTCAAGTGAGCTATAGTCTAAACTCCTAGCATCCCCTATAGAAATTAGTGCCCTATATAATCCCCTATATAACCGCCTTTAAGGAGTTTAGACTATAGCTCAAATAGTGGATGGATTTTGAAGTGCAGGGTTGGGCTTTTGTGCATAGGCTTGACGTGTAAGCTTCGACATCAGGGAGCTCCATTGCTTTCTGACGAGGCCTGGCGGATAATTATGCGCTACCGCGGACTTGAGAAGGATCCTCGCCCGCCCTACCTTTGTGGCCTCTTCCGAGGCTGTCAGATGTGGGGGATTGGTAGGAGAGAGTGCCGAGCTACCAGTGGCCTTGCTGGCCAGTGTTGTCGGAGGAGGGCTGTCACTTTGCATATGAACGCCTTAGCTCTCCCCATGGATTGCAGCCAACGTTTGTGCTTCCATGCTACTTGCGTGGTTTTGCTGGAAAGAGGGAACCATTTTGCTCGTTTGGTCCACCTCCGGTCTGCCCCCTGCCGAGCCCGTAAACCTAATCTGGGTCCAAGCCATTCCATGCCAGATCCCAATTGCCACATGGCAGCCCAGTCAGCTTGCCCAGAGCCAGTTGTCACAGCAGCTGCAGCTACACGCAACGTTAGGACTTTGATTTGCCGTTGCACTGCTAGCTTTTGTGGGTTCCGTTGAGAGCTCAAACAGATTTTCTCGGAGTGTCAATCAAAGACAACTGTAGTTGAGAGGATTTCTGTTGAACATTGTCTTGTGTTTGAATCTTCACTCAACTTCTCATGCGGTGATGTCTGAGGTTGGCTGCCCCCGTCCTGAAGAAGAAGTCGCGGTCCGTGAAATCCCAGCCATAGGTTGTCGGTGCAAGCCTAGATTTTCAGGCCAAGCAATGCAGGAGTCTCTCAAAATTAGGGTTACTTTTTTGGGGTCCCTATAGTAAGGATTCTAGTATATTGGGGTGTATTTTGAAGCCCCCTATCTTGGAAACTGATTACCATGTCAAGCGGTGGAAGCATCAAGCGCAGCGTACGGCTAGTCAGCCAGTAAGGGGCGCAGGTTGCAAATCACATTCACCCCGCTGCCTTGGGCACCACAAGCAATAAAAGAGACTAGATAGATAAAAATCTTTGCAAATTAATTCCTGAAGACGGGAGTGTAGCCAAAATTCCCAACAAAAGGCATAGATAAGCTGGCTCAGGACGGGTCTCAGGCTGCTGGACGGACCCCTAACATATTTAGGGTTTGGGGTTTAGGGTTTGGGGTTTAACTCATTTCCTTGTAAGACCTGAATATACCTATGCAGCCCCCATAAACCCACAGGGTTCCTCAACTAGGGTCCCTCACGGAATGCCTCTCATCCCGACGAAATTCACAAGCACACGCCCTTGCACTGTTGCAAAAGGGCCATTACCAGACTGAATGAGAGGTCCGTGCCTGCCCGTATTCTTCGACACACAAAGACTGAGTTATCTTGTGCAAGCACAGTGCTATGTCTCTGAAGCTGCAATGAAAAGACAACACGATGTTTCTTGCAGGATAACCAAAAATCATTAGTCTTCGCAGACTGTACAGAGGGACTGCAAGGGAACTACTGCAACGACCTAAATGGACAGTTCCAGCATGCACTCCCGGAAGGAACCCTTCCTCAGGCTTTCTGCTGTGCAAAATCAGACCTGTGAGAACCATAGCCTGCATCTGCTTGGCGAAGTCGTTGACACGGGAGCGATGATTGTTGGAGCGCACATACACAGTCTGCACGTCTTTCCCGTCAGGAAACGAGACGTCTACTAGACAAAGCGTCGTGTGAAGTGAGCTCTGGAACCCCGCAAGCAGAGACACCTCCTGCGAACTGGATATTAGAGCCTTCCCTTCCACGAATTATTGTGATCCTATGTCTCAGGACATGCGCCTCTGCAAGCTGAGGCCCCCGCACACGCCAAGAGACGGCACGAAAGGCGCTGGTGACTGGTGGTCGAAGCAAGATCTGCCTCGGGCTTGTAATCAGTTCAGGTCTCCCGCCATTCTGGTTGACTTCTTGGGGAAATTGAGGATGGTGTTATTTGGGAGCGCATGAGGGGGGGCTAACGTGTTGCGAGAAACAGCCACTGCTGCACTGGGGAAGGGTGGGGTGCCTTCGGGCCCTGTGCATTTTTGGGGGAGGGTGGCGGGACCTCAGGCAGGGCTTTTTGGCGACTCTTTATCCTAGCTGCCTAGCTTGTTGGACGTGGCGGCTTAGGGAACCCTAAGCCCCAAAGCGTTAGGGTTCCGAAGCAGACACACACTTCATCAGCAGGTGGACCTTCCACGAGTCCAAAGATTTGTTGGGAAGTGGTTCAGGGTTAGGGGCTAGTATAAAGTTTGGGGTGCTACTTACTTGGCCGCTCAAAACACACATCTGCGAAAGCCAAAGCTCGACTGTAGCCGAGTCCAACAGGTCCACCCGGGAAAATCAAGCTAAAACCCAAGCCCTGAACCCCTGAAACTTCAATCTAATCACCCTGGCCCAAAAGCCTATCCTTAAACCCCAAACCCACAAGGGACCTTCCGCAATATTGAGGCCCCTCATTTATGCAAACTTCCCAAAGATACCTTGCTCTTCTTTTTGTTCCTCAGCGGACAGCCGCCTGTGCCCTCACTTGGCGGACCAGACCCTGCAGGTGCCCAGTCTCAGAGGTCTCTTGGGCGCCCGGAGGCCTGCGAGAGGGGTTTTAGGGGTTTAGGGGTTCAGGGGTTTAGGGTTTAGCGGTTTAGGGTTTAGGGCTTCAGGGCTTGGGGTTTGGGGACTAAGGTTTCAGGTTTAGGGTTTGGGCTTGAGGATTTAGGTTCTAGCGGCTTAGGTTTAGGGTTTAGGGCTTCAGGTTCAATGCTAGGTTTAGGGAGAAGGCCCAAATCACATATACCTGGCATGAGGGTATCTGGACGGGAGCAGAGGTGGGCGAACTACATAGACGTTTGGATCCATCAGGGATAGTTGTGATAGCAACAGTAACACGATAATATCCGGATCCAAACCGAAAGAACAAGTACAGTAGCTTCCAGTATAAGAAGAAAGCTGAGACCACACAGGAATTTTCCACTTGAAAGCCCCCCACTGGCTATGGAAAACATCCTGGCAGTTGCAACCCTAAACCCTAAACCCTTTTGCAAATGCATCCCAAACTCAGTGCAAAAGCCAAATGAAACTGGCTACATCCCAAGCCTTCAAAGCTAAAGAAGCCTAAGCTCCCCCCAAACACCCCAAAAAACTGGTCCCAGGCGCAGATACTGCGTGAAGACCGTGGGTTTCGAGGCGGCCGCCGCTCGCCCTTCCTCGAGGAAGAACTGAAGGCCAGCCTGAGGGGTTTTCAATAATAATATATTGTAGCATCTTATAATATATTATAGTATCTTACAATATATTATAGTATATCAAAGTATATCAGAATATGCTATAGTATAATATGTTCTAGTATATAGTATATCATAATATATTAGAATATATTCTGGGTTTAAAATGGGATAATGGAAAAGAAAATGGAAACCACTATATGGGGTTTAGGGCTTTAGAAAATTACAGGTGCCTTTAAATTTCATGGGATTTAGGGGATATGAAAGGTTTAGAGTTTAGAGATCAGTGCTTGAAGGGTTTAGGGATTTCGCCATGTTTGGGGGTCCCCATAACAAGAATGAGAGTATGTTGGGGTCCATATAGGGGTTTTCCTGTGTAGGGAAACTACCACTTGAGGGTGTCCGAAATCTGCGGCGTGCCTGGAGAACATAAGGGTTCTGTAGGAAGCCTATACCGAGCATATTTGGCCTAGGGATATTACAAGAATGGAGAATCAAATGGCAGAGAAAATGGAATCTTGAAGTTTATGGTGCATAACCCTAAACCCTAAACCCTCCCTCTGGGACCCCCTCTTTATCATTGTCAGGACCTGAAAACAGGCCCATTGGCCTGCAGGGCGGAGACGGCATAGCCAGCCTCCTCGAAACGGGCCGCCTCACAAAAACTCGAACGTTCTGGAAGAATAATAGGGTTAATATTAGGATAATGGAGAATCAAATGGAAAAGAATAGGAACTTGAAATGGAAACTGGTGTATATATAGGGGTATGTATCGGGGGGCTTTGTTTTTGTCTCTAAAACTGGGCCATGAAAATAGTCTCCTATATACAATGACCCTGGAGAAAGGAAGGCCCAAACAGAGACCAAGCCCCCATCTGTGACAGCTCATCTCTACAGTTAGCCATTCCTGAGCCCACAAGGGAGTTTCCCAAAATTAGGGGTACCTTATTGGGGGTCCCCATATTAAGGATTATAGTACTTTGGGGTCTATATTGGGGTACCCTAATTTTGGGAAAGTACCACAAGGATCCTGG